GTGAGGAGCGTCAGGGAGGAGAGCGATCAGGTGTCAGCCGCCAGGCTCTCGCGCGCTGTAGTAGGTGTAGAGAGACTGGCCATAACNCACGTACATGCAAGAAAGATACTCTAAATAATAATTAATCTACTACGTTAATATAGATTAAGATAGTTCTAATATAGTAAAGCTACGCGCTTGTAAAGGTGCACAAAGTTGTTGGGGTNCGGCGCTCGCTTGCCTGCGGCGCTCGCTTATCCACAACGTTAGCTATGCTGTGAAAGATATCGCTGAAATCGATATGTTATCGCCAAGTCTTTGGTAGACTAATGAGGAAGCTAAAGAGAACTTACTCTCCCACTTTTCTATAATGTTTAATACACATCTTTTTTTGTGATTAACACTGTAATATTTCTATATTCTCTATGGCCTGTAACTCTGAGTGTTGCGGCCCGCCCAAGGCTACTCCTACCGTCGCGCGCATATCAACTCCGCCACTGGTTGATAGAGATGCAGATAGTTGCTGTGAAACCCAACGTGACTCCATATTCAGTCCTCCTAATGACTGCGGAGACGAATGCTGCCACTCTTCGTACCCACGGCCAAATACTCATGAGGGCGACTGCTGTGTTGGCGCAATTGAAAAGGGCCCGAATGAAGACAGCTCTTGCTATTCTAAGCCTTTCGAGATTGAGCCGCAGTCCCGAAAGAGTCCCAACTGCTGCGAGCGGAGATCTTTGCCTTGCTGCGATTCCTTTTGTATCGACCGACTTGCTCTCCGCAAGTGTACTGCTGAGTGTAAATCTCTATCTCATGCTATCAAAATTTTGCTGCTGACATATACATTTTACAGCTAACAAAACATCCCATCTATCCCCGGATTGCGACGGAGGAAAGGACGGCAAGCCGTGTCAGCAGCACGTCCGCAGGGCCTACGAGCAGTATCAGTCCAAATTGGAAGCACTAGGCTGTATCTGCCGCACGCTGCTCGACCTTGGTCAGGATTCTTGCTGTAGGCCACCGCGACTATCTTCTCTGGAGAGTAATCAGGCCAAATCTCGTGCTCCAGCCATGTCTTGCGCATCTGCCAACTTTCACTGTGCGCCTAAGGCGGATGCATATGGATCTACCGCAAAGCCGCACCCCAGATCTAGCAACGGATGCCCCACTATCAACATTACCTCCTGCGCCGATACTCACTGTGGTACCACGAAACTTTCAATGATCGATGATCTCACAAGATGCACCGGCGCCTGTTGTGATGATATGAATTCTTTCCCTGCAGTATGCGCCACTGCCTGCTGCAGTGAGAAGGAAGCAGAGACACAACAAAGGAAAATCAGTCCCAAATCAACGCCTAACGTCGACCTAGAAATTGGCTTTTCTGGAGTGGAGCATGTGGTCCTCATCATCTCAGGCATGACTTGCACTGGATGCGAAACCAAATTATCACGTACGTTGGCAATACTTCCTGCAATCACAAATTTGAAGACTAGTCTGGTTCTTTCGCGGGCTGAGTTTGACCTCGACACTGGCACTACCTCTGTTGTCGATACAATCAAACATCTGGAGAGAACGACCGAGTTTACGTGCGAGCGCATCACTAATCAAGGCTCCACTCTCGATCTTATTTGTCATGATGATCCAGCCGATATTATAAGAGGCGATTGACCAGATGGTGTCATCGACGTGAAAATGGTGGACAAGAAGACCATTCGTGTCAATTTTGATGCGAAGACCATCGGCTCACGAGATCTTGTCGAAAAGGGCTGGCCTTACAGTCTGCAACTCGCTCCACCTTGCGCCGATCCTACCCTACACGCCAGTGCTAATCATGTCCGCAAGGTCGGATATATGACCTTATTATCCATAATTTTGACCACTCCCGTTCTAGTACTGGCGTGGGCTCCACTTCCAAACAAAGAAAAGAGAAAGATCCTGTTCAGTTCTATTTCCCTTGCTCTCGCTACCATCCTTCAATTTGTGGTTGCGGGGCCTTTCTATCTGAAAGCGCTGAAAGCATTGATCTTCTCAAGAGTAATTGAGATGGATCTACTTATCGTTTTGAGTACGAGTGCGGCATACATCTTCTCCGTCATGGCGTTCGGCTATCTGGTTGCGCATAAGCCACTGTCCAGCCGCGAATTCTTTGAAACTAGCACATTGCTAGTTACGCTTATCATGATCGGTCGCTATGTTGCTGCATTGGCACGGCAGAAGGCTATCGAATCCATTTCAATCCGCTCGTTGCAAACCTCGACCGCTACCATCATGGACAGAAATGGATTTGAGAAGGAGTTAGATGCTAGACTACTTCAGTATGGCGACGTTTTTAAAGTATCTCCCGACTCTAGGATTCCTACCGATGGGACCGTCATCTCTGGCTCTTCTGAGATTGATGAGTCTATGCTGACTGGAGAATCGAGGGCTGTCGAAAAGTTCAAGGGTTCATCTGTCGTTGCTGGATCTATCAATGGATCAGGAGTGCTAATTATTCAACTCACTCGAGTTCCCGATGACAACACCATCAGTGCAATTGCCGGAATGGTCGACGAAGCAAAACTGTCTAAGCCGAAGATTCAGGAAATTGCTGACAAAGTGGCAGCCTACTTTGTTCCTGTTGTTGTCTCTATCACAGTCGTTGTATTCTGCATCTGGATCGCTGTTGGTATCACCATTCAGAAGAAGTCCGGACCCGAGACTGTTATTCAAGCCATTACATATGCTATCACAGTACTGATCGTGTCATGCCCTTGCGCTATTGGTCTTGCTGTCCCCATGGTAATTGTCGTTGCAACTGGTGTTGCTGCAGAGCGAGGCGTTATTTTCAAATCAGCTGGTACTATCGAAATCGCTTACAAGACCGCTCATGTTGTTTTCGACAAAACCGGGACGCTGACTCAGGGCAAGCTTACTATTGCTCAAGAAGAGTACCCCTGCACTTCTCCCAATACAAAAGCTCTGCTATTAGGCCTGATAGAGGGCAACAAGCACCCGGTTTCCATCGCAGTTGCAAGTCACCTTAGAACAAAAGGAGTCATAGCCACGCCAATACCCAACCCTCAGAACATAGTCGGGAGAGGTGTGGAAGGCGCTTTTGCAGATCGCACTCTCCGTGCAGGTAATTCTAGGTGGCTCGGTTTTTCGGATGACCCACTGGTCCAGTCCATCATATCTCGGGGTTATACTGCCTTTTGCTTTACGATGGACGGTTCCCTCGCTGCCGTGTTCGGCCTGGAAGATTCTCTGCGAGAGGATACTCTTTCTACCATCACAAGGCTTCAGCAACACCAGATAACGGTTCATATTATCTCCGGCGATGATGATGGTGCCGTCCGAGCGGTCGCATCTCGACTGCAGATTCCTGATTCCAATGTGCGATCTCGCTGCACTCCGGCAGATAAGCAATCTTACATCAAGGACCTCCTCGCCACATCTGACCCACACGGATGGAGAAAGAAGGCGAGAGAGCCCGTTGTCATGTTCTGTGGCGATGGTACCAACGACGCTGTCGCTCTTGCCCAGGCCACTATCGGCGTACATATGAACGAAGGCACCGACGTCGCTAAATCTGCCGCAGATGTTGTTCTTATGCGACCGAGTCTTTCCGGTATTCTCACCGCCATAACTATCAGCCGAAAATCAATCCATCGAATCGCCTTCAACTTTGGCTGGAGTTTTGTGTACAACATGCTTGCTATCCTGCTTGCTACCGGTGCCTTTGTGCATGTCCACATTCGGCCAGAGTTTGCAGGGCTAGGTGAGCTGATTAGCGTTTGCCCAGTGATTGCGGCAGGTGTTCTACTGAGGTGGGCAAGGATTTAGTCAACACCTCTTTTACATCCTGCTAGAACTTTTCCACTGTACATAATTAGCTGAGACCCTATAGCTTTGTTACCTACCATTACTACATCCAATGTATCATGGTATGAAAACGATGGCTCGACTTCACTTCCCCCAACTCCTTTTGGTTCGCTGTTTCTTTTCTCTTTAATTTTCGTTTTCTTAGTCACTATATGGGATCAACTCCTGCCATAGCTCTGACACCTGAATCCAGCATAACTTCAATGTGATCACTAGCTTAATAAGGCACACATCGGTTCTCCATTAGAGTCCATAAGCTGATAGCAACGTATGCTAAATATTTTAGAAGCTGGTGCAACATGTTGTGCGCATGAGGTTGGCTAAACGATTACGTTTTCGATGCGCGCTCCCACACTGTTCGGCCGCATTAAGGCCGCATTAAGGCAAGAGTTACACACAAAGGCATACACCTAGCATTATCGGCACTTTTGACAGAGAGATCTTCGCATCCTCGGAAAAAGTGTTAGATAAGAGCTACAGCTTGGAGTGGAAATGCAACTATGCAAGGCAAAACATGTCATTTGTGACATTCAGGTCTTTGAAGTACTGTTACCCCTCACAGATTTTCGAGCTCAATCTATTGTATATTAGGTGACTAATTTGATCGAGCCAGAGCACCTCGGTAGAAAGATTTGTTCAAGTGCCTAGGCCTTTTCATAACTCACACAATTACAGTACCTATGCACGTATTGTTCACGTTTCGCAGTAGGGCCTTCCCAGGTAAGTCTGATACTAGGCAATATCTGCTCGTCACTATACGATATCCATCTGCAAATGTTCCAGATCAACGACTACGTCACGGCATTATAACACGGTACTAAGGCAATCATTGCGGCTTCAGCGGTATACAAAGACTAGTCTAGAGGGCGCATAGATACGGAATCTAACCAACCTGAAGAAGCTCTACTTACTCTCATACAGTAGGCGCTTGCGAAGTCTTTTCTTATTATACGTCATTTCGACAGGTTAGGATCTAGCCTGTTAATCTTTTTTAAGAATAACAATCTAACACATGATAGGCCAAACAGACACAAACAAATCAAATCGTACATTATTCTCATGCTAGGACGGTCTAGGTCTTCGTTTTTCTAAGCTAGTGCCTCGCTACTCAATGGGCACTAAAATCTCACTCACTACAGCCAAGAGTAAGAGCAGCAAAAGTAGCTAGAAATACGTATAGCCGAATCTAGACTTCCCCTCGATACTATGCATACTGGCTTAGTATTTATTTGTTTTTTTTACAGCTCCTTACTGGCTACTAAAAATAGGGAAATTCAATCAGAGCACCAATTATTTGATGCGCCTTACTTGCGACACCAGTTTACCAATGTTAAATATCACAATTATCATTGACAATTTGTAATCACAGTTTGTATGGAGAGCAAGACACGCCGGGCCTTGCGTGGACTTCATGCTGAATTTTCCTTGTACCATCGTTGTTCGCAAACGGTAGTCTCCAATCTTACTATAAGGACGCTTGTCGAATATCGCAGAACCATCTATATCCTTGACAATAGCTTAAAATAGCTTATGTTTGGGGAAATCAGTGTAGATTAGGTCCGCATACCATGCTTATTGAAGTAAAGCATAGCGGTCGTTACTGCAAGAATACTAGGTTGGTCCTGGGAAGCGCTTCTACTATACGCCGCTAGTGCAACAAGCGACGATAAACGCCGGCTTGACAGGCGTGGGATGGCCCGAGACTCTAGTTCCATGTTTGTTGTCACACGTGTACACATGGTATGTCGTAGTCTCTGTCCACCTCGTATACGACGGCGTTGCCGGCTTGATGATGGTATGGAACAGTCTTCGGCTCCAGAAGGGAGACGGGCCAAGACCAGACTTAAGCGTCAACACAACTCGCTACCAAACCATGTCCCGACGGGCGTATCCGCAGCTGACTAAGTACAGCAGTGAGACGTCTTTTGCGTAATCCAGTAGGGCTGCATCGTGAAACTTGGCATCGGATGTTGCAATCTGCAGCCTAAAATACAAAGCCTTGGCAACGAGCCGAAAGGGATAACACAGCCATATATCACTGCCAAGCCAGTCTCATTGTACTTGTACCTGTCAAAGCGCGCTTAGCCCCCCCGCATATAATTTGTCCGCGTGGCGGGGCTTGGATAAACGCCTTAATTTATGGCGCGGACGAATTATCACAAAAAGCCTAGTCCGACTAGAAGGCCCGAATCGGGCGTTCCAATAGATGATTTGCTCCGAGCTTTCCATTACCCTTGCCATTTAACGGTGTTGGACATTTGCTTTTCGTTTTTCCTTGAAAGCAGCAACACCTTCGCGGCAGTCCTCAAGTGAAAAGCTGCTGTAGTACAATGCACGCTCAATCTCTAACCCTGCCTTCAAGGTCGTCGTCTCGGCTGCTTTCTGTCAACTTGCTAGCCTAGAATACGGACGTGCAAACAACGCTTACCTGCTAGAACAGCTTGTTTGGCTAGCCCAATCGCTGGCGCTGAAAACGACGCAATAGTCCGTGCCATTGATGTTGCCACCTCCAACACATCTTCTCCGTTGGGAACAGCCCTATTCACAACGCCTAGACGTTCCATGTCCGTTGCCGAGGTGGTTGCACCAGTTAATATAAGTTCCATTGCCTAGTGAGTTAACACGAATGCTGCTCAACAGAGGGAAAAATGCTAGCATAATATTGCCTAGCCTACGCATCGGGAACGTACCTTCTGCTTTCCAACTGTCTTGGTGAGCCTGGATGAGGTCAACACATATCAGCCAGAAGATGTGATTCGCTCTCTTACCTTTGCGTGCCACCAGCTCCCGGTATCGTGCCCAGGGTAATCTCTGGGAAACCAAATCGGGCATCTGCTGTTGCATAAACCATGTCACACTGCACGTCATTAGCGCCCGCTCCAAAGCACACGACTCCAACAGTAAGCGATTACTCATAATCGCTACCAAACCAATCAGGGATTGGTGGAATGCACCGGCCAATTCGTACTTACCATGAGTGCAAGTTCAAAGCCACCGCCCAACTGGTACGGGTTGTCAGCATGCCTGTCAAGTGACGTGGAGGATAACCTGCTCACTGCAAAACCCCTCACGGCTGCCAGAATAGGCTTCCGAAAACTTGAGAATGCTTCATCGAGGTCTTTGAGCCATCCCACACGGGTCCTGCCGACGGCACAATACGTCAACGGAAGCTCCTATTCCGCTCCATACTTGGATGTACTTACGCCTCAGCTGTCGTAAGCTTTGCCAGTTCAGTTAGATCTGCGCCAGCTGGTCGTTGTGTCAATACCCACGCATCTCTCCCTAAGGACCGATCTCAACATACCACAGAATGGGCCAGAACTAGTCAAGATGGCAGCCAAGATCGTGGGGTTGCGATCAATTTGACGCAAAGCTGCGGTCAGATCATCGATCAAGGCCTGGCACAGTGCGTTCCTCTTCTTCGGTCTGTTCAATTCCAGAATGGCGATTCCATCATCCCTGATGGACACAATGAGGCTCGGCGATTCTGCATTCGAGAGGCCCATGGCTTCTGGTTTCTTCGGTCGTTGACGTGAGTTTCGGATTCGTTTAGCAAAATGCGGTGCTTGTTTTGTACTTGTATTTTCTTTTTTTCTTTCGGAACCGTTGAAGCGATAAGAAATTTTTCCAATAGTCAGGAAGCCTTCTTTCTTATATCATTGGGCTATTATAGTTCACAGAGTTGGATTTATACAAAACACTAGGGTTCTGTAAAAGAGCATAATTAAGAAGATCAAGCTTAACTAAGGATCAAAATTACAGTGGAATTGGCTTCTGGTCTCCACGTGGTCCAACCCGGCTCCATATCTGTAGGTGCCATGCTTGGTACTGCATAAAACCTCCAACCTACTTACAGCTGTGTAGGCGTAGCCGTATGCATTATCCGGTTTTTTTGAGGTAAGTACTTGGCTGGTTTCATATACCACGCGGCTAGTTTCATCTATTACCCACACTAAAAAAGCATTTTATCTGCATGATTCGTCCCAAGGCCAACCCCTGCTGTTCAACTCCATATTTACAATTCAACCTGATATGGTCTCTACCGCCGCTCTCCGCCCCTGGACCCCCACCCCCTTTATTTGCGAGGGTGCTGGAAGGAATAAGCCCGTTCATGTTTCGGGACTACGCGATTATCCGGCTAGCAAAACCGAGGCAATCGCTTAGCACGCCATGTCACGATCGGATCTGACCGGATAGACGGTACTATACGGTGTTATATGCATGCTTTGTAGGCCTGGTTGAAAAAAAAAAGCCCACTAACGCATTAACAGATGGAGCGTTCATAATTAGAGGTAGGGCCACGACAGCCCCAGCAAGTAGTTTCAGGGTGCAGCCGCACAAGACCTCGCTTAGACCCCATTGCAGGTATCCACCCCACTTGACGTAAGTAGGCACAAGGTTACCCCCTGCGGCATTTCGGCTGTCACATCCTAACCGGAAGGTAACCTTAGCTTCGGGTCCTCCTACCGGAGTAAATCAAGGCCTGCCTTGTGAACACGCATCTGTATATTGCCACCTGAATAACGGCTGAAGCTACCTCTAGGAACATCCAGTCATGTCGCTCAGACCGCACCATTGCAGTGGCTCAGAGCATTATGCAGACGCAGTCCGTCCTTGTGAAGGTCGTTTTAGTGGCCCCGCACCAGTTTCGTTTTGTGTCTGGCGTCCTGTTCGTAGACTCTTTTCTACTTTCAGCTACCAATCCGCAGCCCTCTAACGTTTTCTTGACATTGTACCGGCGTATAGCACGAATTTGCCCCGGTGAAGGTCGTCCGAGAACGTTCTCCTGATATTAAATGTCCAAGACATTTTTCATAGTGCGTCGATAAGACACCCCAGAAACTACAGTGCAGCCCTCACCTGGCAATTTATGGTGAAATTTTGCGTCATATAGCATGATCACATGGAAATCCCTTGTGGATCCAAGGGATTGCCACCCACGGGTGTATACGAGTAGGATCTTGCTCCAATTTTATCTGCCGTGTTTGAAACGTCCCCCCCTCTTTGATACAAAAGGGAGAGCTCTGGCAATGACATGAGGATTTCAGTAGCATGAGAACTCTCAGTCCTTCTACTCTACTTTATCAATTCTTAATATGAAGACGAACAATTGCTTCCAGGCAATGTCTTGCCTCCCTGAGGAGGATCGCAGACGGGTTTCCAGCTTTGGTCAAGGGCCAACTGTCTCAGTCCCACATTCCGTGGTCCATGAGGCATTCGAAAGGATTGCTGAAACTCATCCACATACCGTTGCCGCAACCTTTGCTGGTAACTCGCTTACGTACGAGCAGTTGGATGAAGCAGCAAACCAGCTTGCCAACCGCCTCATCCATGCAGGATTGAAGCCGAAGCAACGAGTATGCCTCGTTGTGCAACGCTCGTTCGAGATGCTGATTGGTATCTTTGCCATCCTGAAATCAGGATGTCAATATGTACCAGTTGATGGTGGGGTGGCATCAGAGGTTGCACTGACACACATACTTTCCGACTCTGGTGCCACTTTCATTCTATGCCTTCCCAAATTTTTCGAACGAACACAAAAGGTCGCCAAACAAGATGCAGTAATTGTTTCTTTGGAAGCGAACGTTGGTGCATCTTTTCCGTCAACACGCCCATCAGTCCCAGTTTCCCGCCATGATGGTGCATATGCAATTTACACATCCGGTAAGTTAACTCTCTATACAAATGAACCGCTACTTATCAAATCTCTATAGGCAGCACTGGTACACCCAAAGGTGTTGATGTTGCGCATTCAAACGTCACAAACGCTTTGTTATTAAATCCAGCGCGACTTGACATTACCGTTGGGTCCAAGGTTGCCCAAGTACTTAACATCGCATTTGACATGGGTAAGCTCTATAGAGAATGTCTGGAAAAATCGTCTAACAAGTGAACAGGAGCATGGGAAATACTGGCTTGCCTGATGAATGGTGGAACCTTGTACTTGCGGGGGTCAGATTGGACAGCTACACTCCGTGAGGTAAGCGATTCCATTCAGCCACCAAATCTGACCAATCATGTACTAACCGAGCCATAGGTCGATACACTTATTTCAACCCCATCCATTCTGTCAAAGTACCGTCGACATTCTTTTCCAAATATTAAACACGTCGTGACAGGCGGTGAGCCTTGCCCAAAAGCGTGAGTTGTCTCTCTTCGAAACCATCCGAGGACAATTTTTAACGGTTCGATAGACTGGCTGATGAGTGGGCTGAAAACGCATGCTTCTACAATATTTGTGGCCCAACGGAAATCACAATCCTAAACTCAGCACATCGCCATACCCCAGGCCAGTTTTTGTCCATTGGAAAGCCTTTGCCCAACACAACATGTTATCTTCTCGATGCAGATGAGCAACCGGTTCCTGTGGGGCAAAAGGGAACCATGTGGGTTGGTGGAGCTGGTGTGACTCGAGGCTATATCAATTTGCCTGAACTTACAGCTCGTCGTTATAAACATGACAAGTTCGTCAACGATGGGTACGTTTCATGAGATATCGTTAGTCTCATGTTTGACTTACACAGCGCAGGTCAAGAATGTTCAACACTGGTGATATCGCACGGTGGAGAGAGGATGGTTCGCTTGATATGCTCGGCCGTGAAGATGACCAAGTAAAGATCAAGGGTTTCCGTGTCGAACTTGACGGAATCACAGCCGTCGTAGAGGTAACCAGCCCTTATCTTGCACATCTTATGAGCTTGCTAACAGAACCAGTCATTCCAAAACGTAAGACGAGGTGCAGCAATGCTCGTCGAGAACGCACTCTGCGCTTTTTATGCCACAGAGGGTTCGGTTGACGAAGAAGCTCTCAAGAGTTTCACCCAGAAGCATCTACCTTATTACTCTGTTCCAGAAAAATGGGTCAAGGTCGACTCCATACCACTTACAAATAACGGAAAAGTCGATCGAAAAGTTCTGAAAGAATTGGTTTCTGCCCAGTCTAGCGATACACCAACGAATGAGAAGTCTACAGAAACTCTCAAGCCGAACTTGGTCAGCGTCAATGTAGAGACGTACTCTTCCGGTGGATCTTCCACTGAATCTTTCAAGGATCCAGAGAAGCAGGCTGTCATCATTACGAGCGGCGATTCTGAGCAAAGCAGCTCTGTAGAGGATTTGGCGGAGAGACTACCAGAAGTCTTGCCACCGAAGAACAGCTACCACGGTCTGCGCTGGGTTCGACATCGCGGACTTATCCTTTACCGCCGCTTTCTGTCTGTTGTTATACTAGCAAACATCGGAGTGGCAGTCTTTCTCTTGCACCGCAGGATTGGACAAAACAGGGACATTCTCGCCAACTTGTCCCTGGCCACAGCTGCCAATCTTGTCGTAGCAGTTCTCATGCGCTCGGAGCCAGTCGTCAACCTTCTTTTTACCGTTTTTTGCTCTGTTCCGGTAAGTAACCACTGTATTTCATGTGAGCATGACATGATGACTGACAGTAAACCTCCAATCTACAGACATTCTTTCCTCTAGCTATACGACGCCATTGTGCTAGAATCTTCCACATTGGCGGCATCCACAGCGGATGTGCAATGGCAGCCATAATGTGGCATTTTATATTCACCATAGACGGTACCGTGGATCTGGCACAGCCGGCATACATGCGTCGAATCTCGGTAGCTCCGGTCGTAGTATCATGGCTTGCGCTTCTCCTGTTACTCATCATCGGATCGACTTCGCACCCAACCTTCCGCGCCAAATACCACAATGCATGGGAGATGACCCACCGATTCGGTGGTTGGACTTGTCTTGCATTACTCTGGACACTTACATTCCTCGCGACCAAGGACCTTAATCCCGAGCTGCCGATTGCAACCGCCTATTTGCGCTCCCCAGGTATCTGGCTTCTCTCCGTCGCCACAGCAGCTATCATCTTCCCATGGTTGCATCTACGCAAAGTGCCCGTCCACTCTGAGGTTCTCTCAAACCACGCCATCCGTCTTTGGTTCGATTACACGACTCCTGTTGTTGGTACCGCCGTTAGGCTTGCCGAACGTCCCTTGATTGACTGGCATGGTTTTGCAACCATTACCAATCCCGAAGGCAATGGATTCTCACTTATTGTGAGCCGTGCAGGTGACTTTACAGGCCGTACAATTGAGCGCGCACCAACCCATATCTACGTTCGTGGTATCCCGACTTGCGGTGTTCTACGCATAGCCACACTCTTCAAGTCAGTCGTCCTTGTCGCAACAGGATCAGGTATCGGGCCATGCCTGGCTGTCATCCTCGCTCAAAAGGTCCCTTGTCGCATCCTGTGGACTGCGCCAAACCCTGAACAGACATTTGGTCAAAAGATTGTGGATAGCGTCAAAGCTACAGATTCAAAAGCAGTGATTTGGAACACGAGAACACAAGGAAAGCCCAACATGTCCCTGATAGCGTACCAGCTATGGAAGGAGAGTGGAGCGGAAGCTGTTTGTGTGATCAGCAACAAGAAGTTCACTACCAAGATTGTGTACGATATGGAAGCCAGAGGCATTCCAGCTTATGGTGCTATTTTCGACTCGTAAATGGATTTTCTTTCGGGTTATAATTTCTTGGATATATTGGGTGGTTGGTTGTTGGATCGTCTCTGGCGTAGGGATAATTGGGAAAAAGGTTTCATTAGACTTGGTTTTCTAAAAGGCGTTTAACTTTGCACTCATACAGCCTCGGGTGGGATAGCCGCTGTTTCGAACATTTTGTTTATTTCCTAATCAATCAATAACGTATTTTTCACAAACATCGGAGAACTCTGAGTTACAACGACATGCAAGTTCATGCAGGTAATATTAACGATATCAAGCAGCATTCCTACCAGTCGCTGGTCAAGTTGATTATCGAACCCTTCAGAAAAAAATGTAATAGAGTCAGCTACTTGGGTCCCTTGAATGCACTAGTTGAGAATAGTTTATTAAGACGATGTTAATGGTGTGAGCGTAGTGAGAACCCTTTTTGGTTCAGCAGGAGCTTCACTACAGGCCAATAGTTTGTCGCCAAGCAGTTTTCTGTAATGTCATGACTTGCCAATGCTATCCTAACATTTTTTAAGAATAGACCGTATCAAGTTGGAAGACGACGGAGATCCACGGTGGGTCATGGGAGACTGTATCCCCCACTTGGACAGGGGTGCATGAACTACACTGTGACTCTACAAGCTTTTGCGGCTCTGCCCCACTACAATGCGCCTTTTCTTGGGATTCTCCAGTCGAATATCCCTGCCTCTGATCATACTGTGTAGGGCTGAATGTTTGCATGTGCACCGTTCCGCGGAACCAATCCATGTCGCGACCCACTTATGCGATCACTGCCTTTTAGGATACGCTCCGGTACCGATAGTTGAAACTTCTCTTAGTTTCCCGTGATTGTAAATATCACTCACCTGACCAGATGATAGAGTACTTTTGGAATGATCTGTCGGTGGCCACAAGGACAACCCAGCTTAGCCTTATATCTAGCGTCTTTTATTGAAACTGTCTTATAGCAGGTATTGCTAAACCCTAACTGTTAGTCTACACACTAACATCAGCGCTATGGTCTTCGCGTACTCAATGAGAATCGTTGAAAACAAAAATCTGGCTCGCAGTATGAACTTTGTCTGCTAGAACATCAGCGTACTTACAGCATAGATATCCACTCGTAGTGTTAACCTACCCCATTATTATGCTTCATGATTGTCATTTCGGACCCACCGCCTTCTTGCACAGTACGGCCGCGTTCCCAATGTCTAGTTGGTCTCCACTTTGCTCCTCGGTTGCCAGAATCTCCCCGATATTGTGAAGCCAATAAACACTTATTCATCACCTCACAACTTTATCATTTCGTCCAAATCGGGGTTGACCATGAGTTCAAATGGGTATCACTATGCCTCCATTTTCTGAAAAGAGTAAAGCCACTGGATTTCACTCTTCACTAAGACTGTTTAGAGCAATGTCTCTGGAATTAGTATGTCTGAGTCTATGAATCCTTCGAGCCTTGAGTCACGGGTCAGATTGTGAACACGCAGAGAGACAAAAACTACTGCTTTACTTTCATTTCACCCTACAGCTGAGACCTGAGGTGCCCTGCAAAGCATTTCTTGTTCGGGTATATGTAACCAACTTCGTTTCTCATCGCCAGCGCTATCAACTCACTACGGCACGACTTGACCTTTCACTACAATTTTCATACCTTACAACTCAATTCATTTTACTTTTCCTACCCCCATTACACCAGTCACCTCCCAAAATCTTAGTGGCCCAACTGCCTGCAAACCAGCCCATTAAATGGCGCGAGACAGCCTCCTCCGTCACATTTTCAAGCGTGGCCCCCTTTCCCTCAAGTACCGAAAACGCACACGCAGTGCTCCTTTCCGCAACAACGAATCTGACGAGTCGCTAATTCTCGAAAGACCTCACTACACGCGCAGACCATCATCATGGCGCGACGAAATACCAGACGACCACGACACTCGCAGGATGCACAGAAACCAGGACACCTCATATGACTCGTATTCTACCACGTCCGCCACATCACCAACTACCTTCAGCTCCTCCGGTTCAAGCCTCACAAACACTTTGTTACTCGCGCATCCATGGATTCACCGCCCCACCTCACCGCTGGCAATCAGCACGCGCGACCTCTTCTTCGCCGTGGTGCAAGAAGCCGTCGCTGCCACAACTTTGCACATGAACACTTTGGACAGGGCACTAGAGATGCTGGAGACGATGCAGGGACTCAGTGCGACGGTTGATGTCTTGAGGGGAGAGATGCAAGAGAAAAGAAAGGCGTGTGAGGTGGTGAGGAAAGAGTTGTTGCAGTTTGGTGAGGTAATTCGAGCGTTGGGGCTTGTAGAGTAATTGACAGGAGTGGAGTATAAGCATGGTTCTTTTTCTACAAAGGAATCAGGTTGGTAGTCTAGATGGATGTGAGATAGGACCCAAAAAGTTTTGTTTGCATGCTTGAAAATGGGAGAAGGTTTACAGGCGTTGTACAAGATGAAGCCTAGGGTGATGAAAAAATTATCATTTAAAAGTTTATATCAAGACACATAAAGAAAAAAAGATTCCAGGGTAGTGTCAATATCTCTCACCCAGTCCAGTCCAGTCCAGTCCAGTTCAGCCTAGGATATCTTGAGACTCATCCCACGTTACTCAATGCCAATCAATCTTTCCCTGCCCTCTAGACCTTTAACCAGAGGTTCAAGACGCCCTTGGCATACTCTACAATCTCATCGCCACCAAGTTTGCTCTCGCCGTAAAGGCGATCAACAAACGAAATCGGAACCTCGGCAACCGTGCATCCCATAGCCTTCGCACGCACCATCATCTCCATCTGGAACGTATATCCTTTGCTCTCTGTGCTCCGGATAACCTTTTGCAGAATCTCCTTCTTGTACAGCCTGAAGGAGCCTGTGAGATCGCTCACGCCGGGCCTGAGGACAGTATCCGCGAACAGATTCGCACCCCTGCTAACAAACTTGCGCTTCAGATCCCAGCCGTAGACGCCGCCGTTGCCCGCATACCGCGTCCCGGTAACAATGTCGTAGTTCTTCGTCTTTTGGAGCGCAATCATGGGCGCGATGAACTTGGGGTGATGGGAGAAATCCGCGTCCATGATGATGACAAAGTTGCCAGTTGCGAATTGCAGGCCGTGAACGTAGGCCGTGCCGAGACCCAATTTGCCTGCGCGTGCGCGGATCTGGATGCGTTCGGGGGAGTAGACCTTTTGGAGCTGGGCAGCGACTTCTTGGGTACCGTCTGGAGAGCCGTCGTCGACAATGATAAGTTCCCAATCGAGGTTGCTGCGAGACAGAGTTAGTAAGAATGAGGGGTGTGAGGAACGAGGGGGGAATGGTAGCGACGTACTTCTCGGTGAATGTCTTGTTGAGCAGCCATGTTATAATAGGGAGGTTGCGGCGCTCACTGTATGTGGGCAAAAGTACAGAGTACTTGTTCTTGCTCGCCTCGGGTGCCATGGTGAAGGTGCTATGTTGCGAATTGGGGGAACGAGCGACTGGAGTTGAGCGTTGTGATTGTTCGAAGTTGAGGGATGATCGCCGAGGTGATCGTGTCCGCATTGCAGTGCAACGCGAGGGAGGACCCTGACCTAACCCGTTTAGTCCATGTCCTCACTCCACGACCGCACTACAAGGCCTGGATCACCAGTCTTGCATGCTTACCAAAATTAGAGGACCAGCGTTTATAGCACAGCGAGTTTGTTCAAGCGATTTTGACCATGCTGCCCTCTAAACGTAAGAATCTTCTCCTCTGCCTCGATGCCTTCGACACCCTCTTCACCCCTAGTACTCCCATCCCAACCGCCTACAGACAAGCAGCATCTCGTCACGGGATCCAGATTCCCTCTACGCAAAGCCTAGCATCAAGCTTCAAATCTTCATTCAAAAACACGTCTCGAAAATACCCAAACTATGGCAGATCCACCACAGGTCTCAGCCCCGAAAAATGGTGGAAAACCATTATCCAAGACACTTTTGCCCCGTTCCTGCAACAAGGCCAGACAGTTCCAGAGGAACTCACCAGCGAACTCCTTGAACACTACTCTTCAAGCAAGGGATACAAAGTATTCGACGATGTCAACCCTTTATTTAGCATGCTACGCAATGCAAAACAGCAGCGCTCATACTCGTGGCCATGGGGCACGACTATTGTGGGCATAATCACCAACTCTGACGATCGCATTCCGTCCGTCTTATCTTCGTTTGGCTTGGACGTGGCATCTCGCCGGTACAGCAACAACGGTAGTACAAAAGAAGTAAACATGACTGCACGGGATCAAGATATTGACTTCGTACTCCTATCCTACGACGCCAGCGTTGAAAAACCGCACCCTGTGATTTTCTCCCTTGCAGAAGAACTGCTCGGCGACGTTTTATCGAGCAGAACTGATACGCAAGGAAGAGGTCTACAAGCAAGCGACTTTGAAAAACTCCATGTAGGCGATGATCTGGACAAGGATTATCTGGGTGCAAAAGGAGCGGGGTGGGGTGCGCTATTGCTGCGGCGCGATCAGGGGCTAGGGAAAGGTATACAGAGTATCGAGGTGCAAGGGAAAAAAGGAGACAAGAAACATGTACAAGCAGTTGGTAGCCTTTTAGATATTGCTAGATGGCAACCTACTAGTCCATAACGTATATCTCCAAAAATGAGGAAAAGAATTATTTGGATACAGGAAATCACGCAACCAAAACACAAAAATATACAAGTGTTGTCATCACATCGATTTCTCATACTCATTTCATCTACCGTTGTCAATGCCGTCACACATCTGTCTTCGCTAAGAAGCCGAGGCATCAAAACATAACAAACAAAAAGCCCATTCATCGTGTACAAGTGTTTACCCACCAATCCGTAAAAGAAGAAAAATACCTCACACCAAATAGAATTGGGTATTCAAACATTTCAACCACCAGTGGCCCGCGTCTCATCTCGGATTTTCCCAGTCCGAAGTAATGCGCGCCTTGGATGAAATGGATGCTCAGCCGGTATCCATTTGGGGAGTTCGTAATGTCGCGTGGCTACAAAACGTCACGGCGTAAAACGCAAACAGGCCAGAGACAAAATATGATAACAAGTCGTTGCACCGCCCAAATGCATGCTGGGACGTCGAATGTTTCTCCAATGTCTACAACTCTTCGTCTTCTTCCATCTTGGATTCAATAGTAGGAATGTTGCCATCAGAGTTCCCTCGCTCTTTCTGGGCGCCCATTAATGCTTGGCCAAGGCTCTTGCGGACGCTCTCATCAAATCCCGGTAATGAAGCGCGTTGCTTCTTAAAGGGCGATGCGAGGGGGTTCGAGGAATTAGTTTCTGACGAGTTTGCAGGTGCGGAGGTCGAGGCATCGTTTGAAGATGAAGCATCGGGCGCTGGTGTGCCAGACAGAGGAGATCCGGAAGCGTCTGAAATCGAAGCACCTGCGGGACGGCCCACTGGCTCGGCCGAGTGTTGACGTTTGAGCTGTGCAGTGTCAGCATCGCATACCACATCTTGGAACTAGCCAACATACCTTGATCTTGCGTACACCCTCTGCAAGTTCGCCCTGTTTCAAAGCGTCTTCTGGCGACAGTAGGCCCTTGTCAATGACATCTTTGTCGTCGTCCACATCCTCCAGCCTGACGTCGTCTTCGTCATCTGCGTCACTGTCCATGGCGTCTTGATTCTTTTTCTTAGACTTTGGGGATGTTTCCCGGTAACCGCCAAAGTTCTTTGTTCCAGCATCTGCGTTGAGGGGCTTGAGGCTGCCAAAGTCGAGTGTTCCTGACTTTCGCTTGGCGGCCGGCGAAGTGACCTTGGGCGGCTCCTTGCTGGTCAGGATTCCCATCTTGCGCAACTGGCCTGTTCGGGGTTAGTATATTCACTCTTATCTACAAATTTTGCAACTTACGCTCTCCGCGGTACAAGAAGGTGAAGACGGCGTAAGGCTTGTCCGGAGGATCTATACCAGTCACAGTCTGGGTGCTGATGGACTTGGGATCCAGTGTCTTTGGCTTCGCAAAACTTGTAGTGTGGTCGACATCGTCACCCTCTCCGCCGTTCTGTTCGTCGTCGTCATGTGCGTCGAATTGCGGCGAGTACTCGCCACGCTTGATCTCTCCAGACGCTAAAACACGGAACAAGGCAACCTTGATTTGTCCTGCGGCCTCGGGCATAGGGGGCTCGTCTTCCGAATCCGAGTCGGTGGTGAAGAATTCGTCGTTGCCAGAAAGTGTTTCGACAGGCGCGTCCTGGCTTTCGCTGTAGCGCAGCACACCGTTGGTAGAGGGCTTCTTGTCTTCTTCATCACTGCTGTTCATGGCCTCTCTCCGCTTCGCCCGCTTCTTCTCCAGGCGTTGCTTTCTCCGCTCAATCTTTGCAGCCACGTCTTTATCCTTGCCTTCGAGATCAAGGCCATTGAGCCATCGCTCGAGTCCGACCTCGCGGAAGAGAAACTCGCGTTCGGCGAGTCCCCCACCTTCCGACTCTGGTACGCTGACCCACCGTGAATTGACCCACGTCTCCTCGCCGCGGCGCAGCAGAGTCGCAACCTCCTCCTTTGCCCTTCCGTCAAAGTAAATGTATGCGGCGATGGTCTCGTTTGGCGAGGTGGTGAGGGGCTTGTACGGGGCTATCGTGGGACTGTACTTGCCCCGCTCACCAGTTTGGCCGGGCAGGCCACCCACAATCTTGGGCTTGGGGTTGGGTTCTTCGGGCGTGGGCTTTGGGGTCGAGTAGGGGACGTGCAGACCTGGGGTGAGCAGCGTGATGGAGATTGCAAAAGACGACTGCTCGGGCTTGGTGGCGCCGGGGGGGATCTTTGCTGGGGGCACGGGGATATACGACGTGATACGGTGGTACTTTGATTGCTTCTGGATGGAATACTCGGGCAGCGGATTAGAGTCGGCGTGTATCGAGACGGCCAGGCCCAAAAAGGTCGGCATGGCGGGCAGCGGGCGTGTGGGGAGGGGGGGAGGGCGGCGGGAGAGGGAGGGCAAGTGGTGGTGGTGGTGGTAGTAGTGGTGGAGGAGGACTGGGCGGCGTGAAGCTGCGGAGATGGCAGCGGAAGAGCGCTGGTCTTGGCAGAGAATGAATGGAGGGAGAAAATATCCCTGCGGACGTAAGCCGCTGCCGGAGGGGCAGCTGCGCGAGTAAGTAGGCGAAAAGGGCGGCGAGGCGGTGTGAGGTAGCAACCAAGTCCAAGTGTCTGTGTTGTTGGTTTAGGCGGAGAGCTTCCGTAGCGGGCGGTCCCACCATGTTCACGGCAGACGGCGCTCCACGGGCGCCCCCTTGGGCCAATCACGTCGCCACCGCCAGCTATCTGCAAAACGCCATCTATTCCACGCGCCTCGACGACATCGCTGTGCCATCGCCATATCTTCACCCACCATGTGCCTGTCGAACCAGGGGTCATGCTGAACGGCGATCGAGGGTGGGGTTCGTCGTGCTAGCGGCATGGCACCTGTGTGTGCGTGTTGCTTCTGCAGGCCCGCTAAGTACTGTGCATTTCACCCAAGTAGTACATGGCCACAGCCTTCCCGATAAGTACACATTGGTCTTCCGTCTACACTACACTACACGCACACTCAATCACTCCCACACCCTGCAAACAGCCCCATGGGCGGCCGTCTCAGGCTCCTCACTCGTCCTCATCCAGCGCAAACATGTCCTCCGCCCTCGGCCGCAACCGGCGAGCCCTTGCTACCGCCGTCTCCCCGGGAATCACGTCGGCCTCCGCTTGTGCAAGCGCAGGCTCAACCGCATCTGTAGACACGGCCACTTCGTCTGCTTCCATGCCCAATGCTTGATCCATGTCGCCCTCAGCACCATCGTTGCCTGTCTCGTCATCGACATGCATCTTCTCATCCTCGTCGACATCTTCACCGCCAGTGCTAACCGCTTTGCGGACTACATTGCCCTTCCGTTTCCTCCTCTCTGCCAATCGCCTTGCCTGCTCCTCCTCCTCCTTCTGCCTCTCGCGCGCGTTGAATGCCTCGTCCAGATGGCCAAGTGTCGACTCGTCGAACAAATGCTCGTCCTGCCATACCTTGAGAATGACATTGACTTCATCCCGGTAGCTTCTCTCCGTCATCCGACCCATTTCCAGCTGCAAAGGTAGCTGCTCAAGATGTTCAAACACTTTGCGGCCCACAAGCTCTGTAGCTATCGCAAGACGGTATTTGTACGACACTCCAGACTCTTTTGCAGTGACAAGAAGTACATCTGAAATAATGCGCAACGCGTTCAGCGTCACCTGTCGGGTATCAGGTCGGCGAAGGTCGTCTTTTGTGTCTGCATCGGCCGGCCTGTTCCTCGGATTGGTATCAGTGAGCTGAAAGGGGCGTATGATGTTTGACACAAGAATGTTCACCACTTCGTCCATGCCCTGGCCAGCGTGTTCCACTGCAAAGTTTGAAATGGCAGCAATGTCATCGGCCACAATGCTACCAGGCGGAAGGGACGTGAGCAACCATAGCAGCATGGCTCTTGACCGCGGACTCATGATGCCGTGTCCATTATCAACCCGCCCAGGATAATTATCTCCAACTGGAAGGGGCTTGTACTGTGGCTTCTCCTTTTCGTCTTCATCATCACTGTCCATCATGTCATCTTCCGAATCAAATGCGCCCAAGTGGTCGGCAAACTCGTCGGCAAGGGGATCTATAGGCCCGCGCCAGTCACCCTGGCGCTCGAAAATCTCGGGATTCGGACTGTCACAAACAATCTGGTGCAAGCGCCATCGGTAATAGCGGTTCACAGGATGCTTTTGGTCAAAGAGCCAAGCGAAGCGTTCTTCTTCTTGTATCTGCGCATCGTTCATCAATGCAGCCTCAAACTCCACACCGCCGAGTATCACGCCCTCTATAGTCTGGTGCACTAGCCTTAGCGTCGCAACGTCCGGGGGCTGGTTGGCGGTGACAATAAGTTGCTCGGTGTCTTCGCGAGGCCTATCTCTCCCTCCGCCGCCACCACCACCACCTAGATCGGGGGGTGGTGCAAAACCTTTCGGGATTTCAGGCGCCTGCCATCGTGCGCCAAATGGCTCTGTGCGCTGTGCTGTATCTGCCGAGCGGCCACCCAGATATCTGTCCAAGTGTAGATAGTAGCCCTTGCCTAGATACTTTTTGTCGTTGAGTTTATTCATAGCATCGTCCAAGTCGCGTGCACTCGCATCCTTGTCGAATATGACCTTCATTGTTGCAGACGGCCGGCCTTTGGGTGACGGGCCTTGTGGTGGTATCTTCTCAACTCGTGTAATTTTCAGGGATGGGAAATCGGCAAAGAGTTCTTCTACCCGGCGTGGATCAATGGCAGGTGGGAGGTTGGATGCCTTTGCTACGACAGTCGTAAACACATTCTCGGTCGGCTTTGGGCCATCCAGCGCAGCAGGACCAGTAGGTACCGACACACCAAATCGCGATGGCATCTGTTGTGCAGGGCGCCCCGGGGTGACTCCAGGCCTTGGGTAGCCGTCGAGCGGCTCAGCGTCGAGTGTACCAGGGCCGCTTTTCATGGTCCGCTGTCTGCCCGTAAAGTGCCTTTTACTTCCAGTTGGAACAAACACATTGTCGGCCTCCTGGTCGCGCTCTGACTCGCCCAGTACGCTTTTCTCGCCCCCATGCTCTGCTTCGAAATCCGCCATGACCTTGTCGAGCGCATTCTTCTCTTCTCGTGCCTTTGCTTCTTCATCTTCTTTGGCCTTGGAATTTAATTGCGCTTTGTTGGCTTTGGCGCCGCCGAGAGAGAACTTGAAAGCCATATCTGGGGTTCAAGTGAGATTGCGTAGGGTTAGTGCGACATGGAGTGTCGAGGGGTGAGTGTGCAAGTGTCAAGGTTGAGCTTGCGACAGGACCCATGGGAGATGCAAACTAGCGCGTCCATCCCGACAGCCGGTACTTACGTACTTTGACTTTCAAGATCCTGGACTGTCATCCCACAACGTCATGCCCATCGCAACACAGACAGGCAAGACGGACTGGCAGAGCAATCCGTCCGTCATGGCTTCTACACAGGACATCCCTGCTCTCCTTCGCTTCCTCAACCAAGAGGCCAAAGTCCCTCTCAAGCAGGCCATCGGCAAGGTGCCCAATCTGCGAGCTGCGAGCCTCAACACGTAAGCACGTGACAGCGTAACACCGCGTTTCAATACCCCACTAACGCCGAACGCACGGGACCAGCGCTCTAGACATATCAAAAGCCGATTTCGCAACGCTCAAAGACATTTTTGGGGATGAGAAAGCAGCGCGACAATGTCTCAATGCGGCAAAACGGGTGTCGAAGAAACGGACGGTTGCAGATCAAGATGGCGCTACAGCGGCATCTGCGCCATCCCCAGTCAAGAAGGCGAAGGCGAAGGCGAAGGCGACGTTTGGCCAGCCACTGAGTGGTGCGGAGCTCGAGGCTGAGCTTGCACTACCGGCAGCCGAGATGAATGAAGAGGTGTTGAAGGCAACGGTGTTATACACCAATCGTGCGCCTTTGTTGCTTGCATTTGCTGTTACATTGGTCAAGTACACGATGCCTGAGCAGCCAATCTCAAGTAGGTTGAGTCTCGCCCAAGCAGTCACATCTATGAATAGCAAGACGAAAGCTGTGCACGTTGGGCTGGACAAGGGGCGGCCTGCGGAAGAAGAAGGGTGGGGTGAGGAACAGCCAGTCATACGTATCATGACGCGTGAGATACGGGTTATGAAGCGGTGGGGGTACGAGTGGGAGGATGAAGGCTACGGGACTCAGCGAACAGCCGATTCTTTGCCCAACACAGCAGGTGAGAAAAGAGCGAAGGGGACTGCACTGTGGGCTATCGATCTAGAGGAGTTGAAGAAGGCCAACCAGCCGGGTGGCTCGACGCACTCCAAGAGTGGACAGGGAGACCTGCCAATTTATCCGGCGGAGAGGCCTAAACTGTATCTTCTGAAGGCATTTGACAAGCCGGCAGAAGATGAGGTCAAGCAAGAAGGCGATGCGCCGATGAAAGCAAAAGCGAAGGTGAGGAGAAATGCGGATGCTACAACAGCGCAAAAGAAAAGGAACCTGGGTTTGCTGCTAGGGGCACTGGAGCTGTTGTATCAGTCATGGGCAAGCATACTGAGCAAAGAAGAACTGGACAAACGTGCTTGGGGATGGTACGTCCATGTTCGACCCAACGTGGCTCAAGGAGCTGCGGGTTGGGGAGCAAAGGGCAATGTGAAGCTATCAGATATTCTGGACTTGCGGAGACCAAGCAAATAGCAGAACAGGGATACACGCTGAAGAGCCATGATGGATATCAAGATGTATTCCATCTAATGTTTTATTTGGGGGGTATCCAGATCACTCGCTATACAACTACAATTTGAACTCGGCATTGGTGAGTTCCCAGCCTACGCCACCAGCGCCTTCTTTGCGACTGGCGAGCTTTTCAGCCAGGGTCAGTTTTTTGTCGCGGTTCCGCTCTGTGCAAAGCTCAAAGACGGTGCTCAGGTTCAGGATTAGGGAATGGAATGGCGGACTGGTGTCGACCAAGTCGTTCAGGATGTTCTTTGCATCCGAGATGCGTCCAGTGTAGAGCAGACACACGGCCAGGTTCTGGGCCACCATGGCATCATCTGGGAACTGTTCGCGAAGGGCCTGCAGCGATGCTACGGCAGCCTGGTAATCGGAGTTTGCGAGCTCGATAAGCGCGTTGAGAGTGCCGTCGATGAGCTCGTCTGGAGAAGCTTCCGAGGCTCGGGCCAGACAGCGACGGGCCGCCTGCACGTGACCCACGCGCAGCCAGACCAGCGTCTCCATGAGGGCGATTTCTCTCGTCTGCCCTTCGTCGGCTGCCAGCGTGGATAGGTGCCGGCCAGCTCCCTCAAGGTCGCCCATTTCCACCAAGACATTTGCAACGCGGATGCCACAGTCGCGCAACCGCAATCTCCACAACTGCTTTTCAGACTCCGGACCCCTGACGATGTTTTCCCTGCATTCACGCGCAAGCTCGTAATAACCCATGATGCCCTTGCGCCACTCGCCATAGCCCAGGGCAGCCAGTCGGACGACCAGGAGTCGCAGCTCCCAAGGTACGAGATGGGCATTGGTGAGGGGGTGCCGGTAGAAGGCGCTGGCCAAGTCACCCAGGACCTTTGACTCCTGGGCAGCGAGGGCATGCTCCTGCAGCAGACAGAGACATGCTAGCCGCACATGGACAAGGTGGAAGAGGGTATCGTGGTCGCCCGGGGCAGCGGAGACCAGGTTGCGGGCGGCAGCAATGGCAGCAAGGCGATAGTGGCCCGAGTAGAGGAGCGAGTCTATGGGCGACGACACAGGAGGGGCGTGGGGAGCACTGAGGAAGGGCGGCGGGACGTTTGTGACGGGCAGAACGTGATAGGCCTGGGGGTCTTGCATAAAGCTGAAGTCCTTGGAGGGCATGTCGTCAATGGCGCGGGCCGGGGGTACATGTTGCTGCTGCTGCTGCTGCTGCGAAGGAGGCTGCGGGGCAGAATCAGGTCGTGTTGGAGGGGCGGCCAGGGGGCTGTATTGCCGTGTAAGTACGAGGTCGTCATGGGAGCTTCTTCACATGGCAACGGGCGCAGGAGAGGGCATACTCGTCGATGGTCACGTCTTCGGCATCGAGCGGGCCCTTTGTCGAGCGGCGGACGATGCCTTGACGACGTTCATGGCCCGACGCCGCCCGCCCGTGGCCTCGTCGCGCAGGGGCCTGCATAGCATGGAGGAGCGATGGGCAGGATAACGTGTATGTGTATGTATGTACTTATGTATACTATATGGGACCGTCTAAGGCTAGTAGCACATACACTGGATGCTTAGCCGGGGGGTTGGGCTTGGTCTTGGGCTTGGTGGAGGTGGAGGTGGAGGTGAACACAAGACGAGGCTCCGATGTTCGGCAGCCGGTGGTGCAACTGCGGGGACGGGCCAATCACGTCCCCCGCCGCCTCGACCTCGGACCCCACTGACTTTTCATCAGATGCGCCACGACTCTGTCCGGCCGTCGACCCAAGCGGCGACCACACGGTTTGACTCAAATACGCTTTTGCTTATTATTACCCCGTCTCTCCCGTCTTCTCTCTCCCTTGCCCTCCTTGCTTTTTTCCCTTTTCTGAGTGTCGCTGCTGTATACTTCGTCCCCTGCGTGGACGCCCGCCTTCATAATGCTCCAGTCACGCACGCGAGCTATTAATGCTCTCAACCGCACCCGCTGCTTTTCCACAACACCACACACAGCTGCTATCTCACCCTACCGTAGACCTGCCCACGCCCTCACTGTCAATGCCGCCCCCCAGGATGCAAAGCGAACACAGAGCACTGCCGCCGTCGGCACACAACCCCAATCGCGCTCAAGACCATCGCCCGCCTTCAACCGCGACGACTATGACAGCGTTCAGCCATTGAAGCAGTACCGCTCGCCCGCAATGGATCACTCCTTCGTTGGCATGACTGGCGGCCAGATTTTTCACGAGATGATGCTCCGTCAGGGCGTCAAGCACATCTGTACGCCTCTCTCGTTTTTTTCTTGGGCCACTGTCCTTGAAATTATACTAATGTGAATAGTTGGATACCCGGGCGGCGCCATTCTCCCCGTCTTCGATGCCATCTACCAGTCTGAACACTTTGACTTCATTCTCCCACGGCATGAACAGGGCGCAGGCCACATGGCCGAAGGCTATGCCCGCGCAAGCGGCAAGCCTGGTGTCGTCCTCGTCACCTCTGGCCCCGGCGCCACAAACGTCGTCACACCCATGCAGGATGCCCTCATGGACGGAACCCCTCTTGTTGTTTTCTGCGGTCAGGTCGTCACCAGCGCAATTGGCTCAGACGCTTTCCAGGAAGCCGATATGGTCGGCATTACAAGACCCTGCACAAAGTGGAATGTCCTTGTCAAGAACGTTGCCGAGCTACCGAGGAGAATCAACGAGGCTTTCGAGATTGCCACCAGCGGCCGCCCAGGACCTGTTCTTGTCGACTTGCCCAAAGATGTCACTGCTAGCGTTCTCCAAAGAGCCATCCCTATGAGCAGCACCCTCCCTACCACCGTCAGTGCCGCCACCATTGCTGCAAGGGAATTGAGCAAGCAGCAGTTGGACCAGTCCATTAGGAGATCTGCCGACCTGATCAACAAGGCTAAGAAGCCCGTCATCTACGCTGGTCAGGGTATCTTGCAAACAGAGGACGGCCCTCGCCTTCTCAAGGAACTCGCTGACAAGGTCACCATACCCGTCACCACCACTCTCCAAGGCCTCGGAGGTTTCGACGAGCTTGACCCCAAGTCTCTTCACATGCTAGGCATGCATGGCTCAGCTTATGCCAATATGGCTATGCAGGAAGCCGACCTCATCCTCGCTCTTGGTGCACGTTTCGACGATCGCATTACCGGTGCCATTTCCAAGTTCGCTCCTGCTGCCAAGGCTGCTGCAGCAGAGGGCCGTGGAGGAATCATTCACTTTGAAATCATGCCAAAGAACATCAACAAGGTTGTACAAGCAACTGAGGCTGTTGAGGGCGATCTTGGCACAAACTTGAAGCAGCTGCTACCCCTAGTAAACAAAGTTGAAGACCGTCCCGAGTGGTTGGGTCAAATTGCCGACTGGAAGAAGCGCTTCCCTTGGGCTTACGAGAAGGAGGGCGAGAATGGCTTGATCAAGCCTCAGACTATCATGGAAAAGCTTTCAGATCTCACGGCCGACCGCAAGGAACAAACCATTCTCACTACCGGTGTTGGTCAGCATCAAATGTGGTGCGCTCAGCACTACCGATGGCGGTACCCGCGTACCATGATTACCTCGGGTGGCCTTGGTACTATGGGTTATGGTCTGCCAGCCGCCATTGGTGCCAAGGTTGCACGACCAGACTGCACAGTCATCGACATCGACGGCGACTCTTCCTTCAGCATGACTCTGACTGAATTGTCGACTGCTGCCGAGTTCAACATTGGTGTCAAGGTCATTATTCTCAACAACGAAGAGCAGGGCATGGTCACACAGTGGCAAACACTCTTCTACACTGACCGCTTCTCCCACACTCACCAACGTAACGCCGACTTTGTCAAGCTCGGTGACGCCATGGGTGTTCAAGCCAAACGCTGCATCAAGCTTGAAGAGCTGGAGGATTCGCTCAAGTGGCTGCTCAATACTGAAGGTCCAGCCCTGCTGGAGATTGTGACAGACCAAAAGGTGCCTGTTCTGCCCATGGTTCCTGCCGGTAGTGCACTACACGAGTTTTTGGTATACGACGAGAGTAAGTCAATCTCAATAACAGAACTGATAGCGAATACTGACCCTATTGTAGAAACGACGAAAGAGCGCAGAGCTCAAACAAAGGCGAGATCGGGTCGCTGAACTGGATAGCTAATGTTTTGTGTTCATCCTTATTCGTTGTGTATATTTGAGGGTCAACCGGCGTTTGACAGCATCTGTTTTACTGTGATATGACCTGGGGATATCTGGCAAAGGTTTAGCCAGTTAAAAAGTAAGATATCATGTTTTTGTAAACAGAGAGGGGGTGGTTTGAATTACAGACATTTCGTGTGGGCAGCTTCCGACTTACCATGAGGGAATCCAAATCTCAACCATGGTTTCAATATGGAAGTTTCAGTGTAAGAATTTAGTCGAAGCATACAAAAGCAAGGCTCATTTGTGCTGTATTCCGTTTCTTACGAACATTCACATTATACAACCACAGCAGATTCAGACACTGCGAACACAGGCCAAGATACGTACTGCGACTCCCGCGCTTACAGAGAATCCAGACGCCACGAACAGGGAACCCCGAGTGAATCACAAGTAAAAGTCTCAATATATCAGAGACCACAAGCCAGACTTTGGATCAACGTAGGCCACCACCAGTATAATTATAGAGAGTTGTGCACAACGAGATTTGGGGAAAAACATAACACCCAAATAAGACCACCATGTCTCAACCAGCAACTCCTATGCTCAGAAGCAGACCAAGTACCAGCTGGTGGGCTCGCCGCCACACGTCGCTCCTCCATGAATCCGACTTGAATCACACCTCCCTATCTTCTTGCCATGGAGAGAACACATCCAAGTCTTGCACCAAACCCCCTTCCCCACCCTTGTCCCGCCAACCCTCACTACAGCGACCCAGATCACCTACCCCTGACATCATGCTCAGCGGCTGGCAACCCGTAGAACCAAGCCCTGCACTCTGGGTCTTTCTTAGGAACGTTCCTTCGCCACCGTCTGCGCCGGAGTTTGAGGTCCCGTCTGAGGTACGGGCACGGGCACAGCAACAGGCAGAGGAACAAGCACGGGCAGCACCACTTCAAACAGAAGGTGATGGTTCAAGGCGTGATTCTGTAGTCGACGAGGAGATGTTGCCTCGTGCAGGGAGAAATGGGGGAGAGATTGTAAGGGGTGTGAATGTGGATGTGGAGAGCCAGGAGGAAAGGGTACAGGGGATACGACGGGTGTGGGGGAGGTTTAGGGGGTGGATGCTTGGTTGTTTGATCTGAAGAATACAAGAATTATTTTATTAGCACGTGATAAGTATGAGCAGTAGACAGATAATACACACACACACACACACATATATATATATTTCTTTTCTTCTGCACTCTTGTTTGCAGGTACAAAAAAGCTATGGTGGCGAAAAGTTAATTGTGAGGTCATTTGCACGGATGAGTAAGAAGGTTAATCAAAGTGTGAGATGTGAAGGTCAAATCGGGCGGAGGGGCGGAAGCGAGTAAGACGAACACGGATATCGAAATGGTAAGATTGGAATCCACTAGTATTGTGGAACCAGATGGTTGGAATATTAGAGTCGTACTAATTTTATTGATCTTCATCATCTCATTTTACAAAGAAAAGTCGAGAATGGAAAGATTTCAAGTATAACTTATGCAAGGAGATTCGAAAATTGAATCCTCTTGAACTTCCATTGAACGCTCAAATGGGGTATTAACAATGGTGTATATACAGTTTACAATAGCAAATAAACAAATCGCTTCGCTTTTTTTTCTTTCCTTCTAAATCGCAAATGCAATAGCAGCGGCGCCCATCAGCGCTGCGTACCTCCACTTGACGCTCTCAACACCCGCACCGTTGGACTCTGGCAGCGCACTGCTAGTGGTCGCAGCCTGATCAGCTGCCGCCACAGCCGCCGTCTTGCTGGGCGCGCTGCTCGCACCCTCGCTGCTAGCACCAGAAGTAGCCGAGGAGGAAGCGCTCGCGGTGGCAGACGAAGACACAGACGTAGTCATGGACTTTGACGCCGAAGCAGAGGCAGAGGCAGACGAAGAAGAAGACGACTTATCCGACTTGCTCTTGTCACCGCTTCCATCCCCCTTCGTATCCACAACAATGCTATCATACTTTCCGCTCAAATCCCCATAGTGGTACTGCTTAGCAGGCGCATGGTTGATAACCTCGACCTTCTCCACGACCATCGAGTACGGTCCCTTTCCGAAATCCGTAAGACCGCCTGCCCACTCAATCGTGCCCTCCGAGTTATCCGGGTCGCCGCCGGCCCAGATACCGATGCGCACGTTCATGGGGGTCTGCGGGTATCCGTATGCCGAGTTCACGTCGGCATACTTGACTTCGCGCTGGACGCCGCCGTCGATGATCCACTGCATGCTGTCTTGTGTCCAGGAGATGGTGTAGTTGTGGAGCTCGGTTTCGGCGTTGCCGGAAGGGATAGCGGCTTTGGCCATGCGGTTGTAGGTGGCTGTGTTGCCCTTGGAGAAGTAGTTGGTTTGGACTTCGGCGGCCTGGCCGCCTAGCCATTCCCAGTCGATTTCGTCGAGGTCGTCGGATTGGAGGATGGCCGAGGAGACGATGCCTGTGCCGGGTGCTACGCGCATGAGGAACGAGACGGAGCCGAAGAAGATGTACCATTTGGACTGGATGGTGGGGTGGTCGCCTTTCTTGGAGATTTTGAACTCGGCTCCTTTGTCACTGTAGGAAACACCTGAGGCGGTCATCTTCCAGTTGTCATCGTCGGCACCTTCTTTGGTGAAGTCGCGGCTGTAGTATGATGTGTCGAGAGCGGCGGCAGCAGGACATGCTGGACAGTGTTAGTTTGAGCGATACTCAGATTAAGACGCTTTCTGTCTGAGGAGGAGAGACTTACACTTCTTGGTAGGATTACAGTCTGTATGTGTCTGGCCGAGTACAGAGTAGGTCAAGCCAGACAAGACGAGTAGGGAGGTAGGAAACAACATTATTGGATTAGTATATATGCGAACTTGGATTAAAATATATATGTATATGTAGAGAAAAGGCGAATAAGGTAATTAAGAGGCTTATTAGAATGAGGTAAGAAAAAGGCAATATGAGATAGGATGATGATGCCGAGGAGAGCCGCTTCGTCGAGATAGAATATATGTGTGAAACCCTTCCCCCCAAAAGATGATAAGAGAGAGAGAGAGGGCCGCAGCGCCGACTAGGCTACAAAAAGAGTCGGTCTAGAAACCAAGAAGCAATGCAAGCATCAAATTTAGAAAAAGGAATCCATGAATCCCGTATACCAACCACCTGATGGGATAACGCGAATCCATGGTAGGCTTGGTGCGGACCAGGAAGGGCTTGACACGTCCGCATTGAGGTGGCCCCCCCTGGACCCAAGGCGCCAGGTGCGTAGGGGACAGAACGCGTGTGGCGCACAATGCACATAATCAGTGCCTAGTACTGTACACAATACGTTTATTCGGCACTGGCGCCTCTAAGAACACGAAGAAATTTGGCAGCTAATACCACCCAGCCATCCCACGTGGTCCGTGTTGAAGCTGACTTGGTTCGTGATGATGACGCCCGATCCACTAGTGTCTCCGTGACTCGTCCCTAAGTGTGGCTGAGGGCCTGTCAGGCCGACTATGTTTAGCATCATTGCTAGGCCCCATTTTATCACCCGTCTCTCCTGTGTATCGTACTTGTACATAATACTTGGTGAATTTTTCATTGCTTCGAGGGATAAAACATAAAACCCGTCTTTTGCACGCTTCATGAATCGTAAATATGCTCTAATCTGCACAAGAAAGAAACAAAAAAAGGAAATACAAACCATTTCATACGCTTTCGCCACTGGGTTCCAGACACTGTTCTCACGCTGCGTGTTCCAAAACACACAAGTAAGCCGTAAGTACATGTCGCAATGCCGCCGCCGCCGCTAGCTCGTACCGCCCGCACAAGGAGGCGGCTACCCCGTCTCGCAGCCAGATCATGGTACCTTTTGGATTAGGCACAGCTGCTTGCATACGAGAGTCTTGTATTCGGCCAGCCTTTGCGACATTTGGCTCTGGGTCAATTCCAGCTCGCGACTCGCGGCCGTCTGCATAGCCCGCGGACCTTGACAACATGCCAGGGCATCGGAAAGCTTGCAAAACCTCTTCGTCATTGCTCACAGCTTTATCGGCATCTTCAGTCCTCGGCACCCCTTAGCCTCTCAACATGCATAGTTTGGGTCTACCTGGTCTTCTTAACCTCCGTAGCCCAACCCTCTATGCCCTCGCCCTTGCTACCAACCGGAATATTCAAGTTGACATTCTCCATTCCCTTTGTGTCCTTCAAGAATTCATGACCTGCCATTCCTCCAGCATTGGCTCGATCCGCGGGTAGCAGCTCCAACATGGGCAACAAAAAGTCGGCAATCTTCTTGCTCTCCTCTGTGCTGAAATGGTATTTTTCGTGCAGAACATCTGGCAGCGCCCAATGCCGTAATCTGTGGATGTTGCGAAGCTCGCCTTTGCGATTGAAAATCTCCTGTGACCATTTGCCCGACATGCATAGGCCTTTGGGGAAGGTTCCCAACAGTTCGATAATCTGAGCAATATGATCGTCGTCCTTGCCATACTTGGTGCCGGATTGTGGGTCAAAAAGATAGTCACCCGTGATGAGTTCGAACGTCTATCCCTGTCAGCAAGGCTGCCTGCTTCTTATAGGTCACACGTCATACCATTGCAGCCATACTCCACACGTCGGTACTGGCACCCCACTTACCACCCAGGATAACTTCTGGGGACCTGTACTGCCTGGTCTGGATGTCGTTGGTAAAATGGTGCCCAACCCAGCAGGCGTTTCCGAGATCTGCAATTTTGACAGATATTGTTTCAAAAGAATGTTCGACTTGCTGTTCAAGCTGTGATTTGCCAGACGCGCTAGCGGGCCTGTCGAGGCTGATGCTGGATACCTCTTTGGTAAGTAGGTCACTGCAATGTGAGTGTTAGTTGATTTATTTATACCAGGACATGTTGCCAAACTTACGCAGATTTTTCGCGCTGTTTCTGTGCGTCGTCTTCGTTTGCCGACTTGATGCCGAGTCGTTCTGCCATGGACAGGTTCGATGTAGAGGCCGGAGTTGCTAGAGCACCACTCATTACAACGCCGTCTGATGAAGGAGGAGGACTCGGAACAGTCGTAGGGGAAAGTTTACCTGTACCCTCGCTCATAACCTTGTTCAGGCTCTGGGTGCTTCCAGGGAAGCTGGATAGCTCTGCGTGGTTGAAGCTCGCGTTGAGCGGACTGGGGAGCGGCTGACTGCCTGTGATCAAGGTCCTTCGCCTCCGCCTGCCGTTCCTAACGCTATCTTCGCCACTCTTCTTTGTTGGCTCTTCTTTTACATATGTCTTTACGATTTGCTCGACATCGCCAATCTCGATAAGGACGTTCTCTGGCTTAAGGTCGGTGTGGATGATGCCGCACTCGCGGTGGAGATAGTCGAGGCCGAGTAGCACCTGCTTTGTGATTTGCTTGACCAGTGGCATGGGTATTCCGCGGTGGTTCCATCGCTTGATCAAGCCCAGAAGATTCTCGCCCAGCACCTCAAAGACCATGCAGACGTGGACGCCGTTGGGTCCCTTGTGGTTGAATGAGTCGAGTAGGCTGACGACATGTGCGCGGCCGGGGTGGTCTTTGTTGGCCTCAACAACCTTTTTCAGCAGCTTGATCTCATCGAGGGCCGTCTCGGTGTAATGTGCAGCGGAGCGGACGACCTTGAGGGCGACGTGCTTGCCGTTGGTGTTGTCTCTGGACAGCCAAACGGTGGAGAAATGGCCCCAGCCGAGCTTGCGCACAATCGTGTACTTGCCGTCCTTGTACTCCTCGCCTACTTGGACTGGGTGGTAGCCGCCTTTGCAGTAGTCCTCGGAGTCCTCTTCGTCGGCCGTGTTTTCGGCCTCATCGACCGACGATGACGACGAGTCTGGCGAGTGGCTCAATTGGCTTCCATACATTTTGTTTTGGCTGTGGGGCGACGTTGCGCTCTGCACACTGCGGGGTTATTGTGGTCAGTCTGGGGATGCGGCAGTGCGGCGGCGGTAGCATGGGCATATGGCATGCGGAGAAGAGAAAGAGAGAGAGGGTGTGCGTGCGGTGAGTAAGTGAGTGTGTGTGTGTGCGCGCAGAGGGCAAAATCAAGTGCAGTGGGGGCGGACGGGAGGGTGACGTGATGGGGGTTGGGTTGGGGATTGGAGGGGGGAGGGGGGTTGCTGGTCAGGGACGTACTTGTAGTGAAAGGAGGCCGTGGAGCCAGAAGGCGATGCATTCTGGGCGCCGCCTTGATTCTCCGCCGTGATGATGGGCTTGAGGTCCTGGCCCTTCCGTCGCTTCTTGCCGCCGTTGCTATTTGCCGCCTGCGCGACCTGCTTGGCCTTGTTGATGGCCGCCTTTTTCATGTCGGTGCCATTCATGGTGGCTCTACCCCCGCCACGGGCTGGGATGGGCTGGGCTGGAAGAGCTGGGACTTGGAGGGAGGTTGCTGGGGGGATGCGATGTTGCGGTTAGGCGTTCCGGACGCGTTGGGCAGCGCTCATGGGCTCACGGGGTGGGGGGGGGCAAGGAGGACGGGCGTTTGTAGCTGCGGGCTGCGGGCTGCGGGCTGCAAACGAGAGCGAGGAAGCGGGAGGGGGAGAGGGAGAGGGAGCGAGAGTGAAGGAGACTTGGAAACAGCGGGCGGCGCGCTGCTGGCTGTCGTCGCACTGCCCTGCGATTTCTTCAATTGCTAGAGAATGGGCTTAGCGCTCCCCTCGCCCGCCTGGCGCTGGACGGACGTGTGATTGGCGGTGGGATGGTGGGGGGACTTGGATAGCGTGGCTGCGATGGAGGGCACTCAGAACAGCAGGTCAAGAAGGCCGCTTCGCCTGCTGGGAGATGCAGTGCAGGCACGCGCGATTTTGTGCAGAGCGCCGCGTCGGACAGTTTTCTGAGCAGGCTAGACACCAAGTAGTCTGTGTCTGGCTCGGGGATGGAAAAGGACGCATCATGGAGCAGGCCGAGCGAAGCGGTAAAGAAGCAGGCCAGACCAGACGAGTTATGACATCAGTCGACGGCCTCGTTCACAAGCAACAGCACCACCACCCCCATCATCACCACCACCACTACCGCCCCTACACAACCAGCCTCCCGACAAGGCGCCTGCTACCACCCTGGTCGCTTTTTTTTCCTCCCAGTCAGGCCACGGCATGGAACGGCAGTAAAACCATATGTCCAGTTGATCAGTCCTGCAGTGGCTGCCCTGGGACTCGACTGCCCCCAGCTGGACTTGAGCTTGGCGTCTACACTACTATCCACTCCCGCTGCAGACTGCCGTCGCAGACTGCCGTCAAGTACTATACTGATTACCACGAGACACAGACACGCTGCAGCTTGGGATAACACATTGCGCATTGAGCCAGCCACGCCATCACCTATGCGCTGCCGCATTACCTGTCCTGTCCTGTCCGTGGCGGCCAGCTGCGAGCTGACTGATACACTCTCCACCATACATACATATAATACATGTCGTGTCCTACCCTACTCCCAGACAAGGCCAACAGCCCTCGCTATGCTGACATACAAAAACAAAACAACCCAAACCAAGAAAACAAACAAACATCTTCCCTGGCCTAACATGCTGGCTCCTAGTCCTAGTGCCAGGTCCCAGGTCCCAGGTCCCAGGTCCCCCGCTCCCCACGATGCTACACTACACAAGCGCCTCGTCCATTACACACACCATCACGGCCCCTCAGCTGCGCCGCATGCACAAATCACCCTCCTGCACGTCAGGCTGCAGAGAGCCGCATCCTTGTCGTCGTCATCATCATCATTACCACCGCCATCACCATCGCCATCACTGCCACACTACTTGGCCGACACGGCCGCCATCCACTTTTGCTCGTCCTGCTTGTCAAAGTGCAGCAGCATGCCCAGCACCGGTATGAGCTGCTGCTGGTACTTGCGGTCGCGCTGC